TTTGCCAAGATAATCCATCCACCTGACAGGTGTGGCATAACAAGAAGCTGATTAAACAGAATGATCATTACCCAGGTGCACCTTGTGCTAAGGACAATAAAAGGCCACTCTAAAATGTGCAGTTTTGTCACACAACACAATGCCACAGATGTTTCAAGTTTTGAGGGAGCGTGCAATTGGCATACTGACTGTAGAAATGTCCACCAGAGCAGTTGCCAGAGAATTGAATGTTCATTTCTCTACCATAAGCCACCTGCAACGTCGTTTTAGAGAATTTGGCACTACGTCCAACCGGCCTCACAACCGCAGACCACGTGTAACCACGCCAGCCCACTATATAAACAGTATATATTACCCTACCCTTTTCCTTGGAAGGGAGAGACTAAGGGGACATTTCTGATGAACATCTATCCCATTGACATCCCAAAACCTAAAACTGACCTGTACACGAATTCCACACCACCCGTCTTGTGTATGTGAGCATTGCTAAAGTTAACGGTAACATGTTCATCAATCATTTCAGCCACATTGTTCATGTGTGTCAGCGATTGCGAGCATCTGCGCTACACTGGGGGTACAGGATAGTTCGGGATTTTGACAATGAAGCCCTTAACCTTCTTCCCCAGAGTCAGATGAACTTGTGGATATCATTTTTATGTCTGTGTGCAGTTTGAAGGAAGTTGCTAACTAGTGTTACTACAATTGCTAACTAGCATTGGCTCACGAAACTATCTCTAACTTCCTTCATACTGGAAGCAGATACATACATTTTTTATCTACGAGTTCATCGGACTCTGGGGAAGTAGATAAAAGGCCTCATTGCCAAAATCCAAAACTATCCCTAATGTCAACCCTTAACTTAAATCAAATTTTAACGAATTCGGAATTGAAATATGGGTTTGCACCTTGCCACGTCCTTTTTTCCCAGCTTAGAGTCACGGCAGCAGCAGCCGTATTGTTTGACCTGTGGAAGTGGAAAGATGCTTCTCAGCCCTCTCAAGATCTCTGCATAGAGGAGAGGCAACCACTGACAGAGACTACACCAGACACACACACAAAGCGGGAGACCTCAGTCCACAGACCAGAGAACCAGGCAAGACCAGACCAAACCTCATTATAATCTGCGCGTGTTTTAATTTGAAACTTTTCCACAACAATGTTTGTTATAAGGAGGCGATTGCCGCGATTATTTGATTAAAGTTAAGTAAACTGAGTGATGCATAAATAGTCACCTCCTTGAAATGCACATTGTTGAAAAAAAGTTTCAAATTACATCACACTTCCATATTATATTAAGGTTTATGGTATTTTTTGCACAGATCTGTGCTCTTTTGTAAGAATTTTTAAAAATATAAATAAATAATAAAACGTTGCCCTTATTGTTTTACCTATATTTGCAGCAACGTAATTATTATTATTAGTTGTTACTGTATGTGCAGTTTGGAAATTCATTTAACTTAGTGAGAAATTAGAAATAGCTTGTGTCAACATTTTAGATACTGTCTGGGCTATAATTTGCCCAAATTCCAAAATTGCATATTGTTTTCTTTACCAGTAATTTTTGTCATGTTGTAGTTGTTTTTGTAGTCAGTCTATGGACAAGGTACAGTAAGACATCAATCCATGCTTTGGTTTTGGGTACAAGGGCAGGTCAACCTGAGAAAAAACGAAGTGTGTCTCAAATGAAACCATATTCCAGATTATCGTTAAGGTATTCTGGGGTGCAGGCTTTATTTTACCTGTGTATGTAGGGTGTATTTACTTATTTTTGTCATTACAGATGATGCCAAATCTCTAATACTGCTTTTCAGTGAATCATATTTTATGGCTTTTGGAAATTTCGAGTCTCATAGCAAAGGGTCTGAAAATGTATGTAAATAAGGTCTTTCTGTTTTTTATTAGTAATGCATTTGCAAACATTTCTAAAAACCTGTTTTCAATTTGTCATTATGGGGTATTGTGTGTAGATTGATGAGGATTTTTATTTATTTAATCAATTTTAGAATAAGGCTGTAACGTAACAAAATGTGGAATAAGTCCACGGGTCTGAATACTTTCCGAATGCACTGTATTTCATGGCTTTTGGAAAGCGCTCACAGAGCTTGTTTTACAATTCAGCTGTCCCCCTCTGTTTTTTATGAAGTTAATAAAGAAACTTGCAAAAAAGCTTGGCTTGGCGTTATAGCCAAATGTCTATTGCCTCATTTACATATTTTTATATAACATTTAAGAAAAAGCATCATATTTGTGTCTACATTCAACTGGCAATGTCATTTTGAAATACAGTACCAGTCAAAAGTTTGGACACACCTACTCATTCAAGGGTTTTCCTTTATTTTTACTATTTTTTACATTGTAGAATAATAGTGAAGACATCAAAACTATGAAATAACACATATGGAATCATGTAGTAACCAAAAAAGTGTTGAACAAATCAAAATATATCAAATAGCCACCCTTTGCCTTGATGACAGCTTTGCACACTCCGCATTCTCTCAACCAGCTTCATGAGGTAGTCACCTGGAATGCATTTCAATTAAAAAGTGTGCCTTGTTAAAAGTTAATTTGTAGAATTTCTTTCCTTCTTAATGTGTTTGAGACAATCAGTTGTGTTGTGACAAGATAGGGTTGGTATACAGAAGATAGTACCCTATTTGGTAAAATACTAAGTCCATATTATGGCAAGAAAAGCTCAAATAAGCAAAGAGAAACAACAGTCCATCATTACTTTAAGACATGAAGGTCAGTCAATCCGGAAAATGTCAAGAACTTTGAAAGTTTCTTCAAGTGCAGTCGCAAAAACCATCAAGCACTATGATGAAACTGGCTCTCATGAGGACCGCCACAGGAAAGGAAGACCCAGAGTTACCTCTGCTGCAGAGGATAAGTTCATTAGAGTTACCAGCCACAGAAATTGCAGCCCAAATAAATGCTTCACAGAGTTCAAGTAACAGACACATCTCAACATCAACTGTTCAGAGGAGATTGCGTGAATCAGGCCTTCATGGTCGAATTGCTGCAAAGAAACCACTACTAAAGGACATCAATAATAAGAAGAGACTTGCTTGGGCCAAGAAACACGAGCAATGGACATTAGACTGATGGAAATCTGTCCTTTGGTCTGATTCATCCAAATGTGAGATTTTTGGTTCCAACCGCCGTGTCTTCGTGAGACGCAGAGTAGGTGAAAGGATGATCTCTGCATGTGTGGTTCCCACCGTGAAGCATGGAGGAGGAGGTGTGATGGTGTGGGGGTGCTTTGCTGGTGACACTGTCTGTGATTTATTTAGAATTCAAGGCACACTTAACCAACATGGCTACCAGAGCATTCTGCAGCGATACGCCATCCCATCTGGTTTGCGCTTACTGTATCTAACATTTGTTTTTCAACATGACAATGACCCAACACAGCTCCAGGCTGTGTAAGGGCTATTTTACCAAGAAGGAGAGTGATGGAGTGCTGCATCAGATGACCTGGCCTCCACAATCACCCGACCTCAACCCAATTGAGATGGTTTGAGATGAGTTGGACCGCAGAGTGAAGGAAAAGCAGCCAAAAGTGCTCAGCATATGTGGCAACTCCTTCAAGACTGTTGGAAAGGCATTCCAGGTGAAGCTGGTTGAGAGAATGCCAAGAGTGTGCAAAGCTGTCATCAAGGCAAAGGGGTGGCTACTTTGAAGAATCTCAAATATAAAATATATTTTGATTTGTTTAATACTTTTTTGGTTACTACATGATCACATATGTGTTATTTCATAGTTTTGATGTCTTCACTATTATTTTACAATGTAGAAAATAGTAAAAATAAAGAAAAACCCTTGAATAAGTAGGTGTGTCCAAACTTTTGACTAGTACTGTACATGTATGTACATGTATAAAGAGAAATAAATACTATATTCGGGTGTGGTGCGTAGCCTTAGCCTACAGCATGCAGTAAACCTTTCAGGCTACCTGCAATTATGTAGTTCTAAGATACTATGGCTTCTGCTGACGTTTTAAAAACGTTCCAGATGACAACAAATATCTTACGATAGATTCTGATCAAGAAATCTTCAATATAAAATGTATAGTTCACACTCTGTCACATCCATAACTGTCGTTTTCCCTCTCAAAATGAATAATGAAAATTACAATATGTTCGAAATTATCGTTTTTTGTGTTCAGCAATTTCTTTAAAATGTCTATCCATGTTTAAACACAGGACATGTGTACCTCAGTAAAGTTACTTTAAGATGATTTGGACATGCATTGACTTGCATTGGTTTTTTGGGTAAAAATTAGCAAGTTAGCATTTGAAGACAGTCGCCAGGTAAACAGAAACAAAGCATAAATGGTTGTCTTCTTTGTCAATCGATTGCTTAAAGGGTACTGAAAACAATATGTAATTTTGTAATTTGAGTGAACTATCTCTTCAGCCTCTGGAAACACTGTCAGCCAGACGATGGGGTGGAGAATCATTCTCTTACTGTTTCTAACAGGTCAGTACAGTAAATTCATAGTGTGTGTGTGTGTGTGCATCAGTGAGTAAGCATGTAAGGTGAGAAAGACAGTCACTGGTATTTCTTTAAGTTATATTTATGTGTTGTCAGCTACACTGGGGCACTGTGGAAGCAGTGTTCATTTTAGTTGCTACATTGAAAAGCTTTTCCAGGGTGAGCAGAGCAGAGCCACTTCAACAAGTGTTTGAAGATGTGAGTTGTGCCACAAAATCGTTCAAATAGATCCAGAGTGGTGTTGTGTTGTTTACACCCTGTATTTATTGACAACAATGGGAGCTTCCAACGCTCTGCAAAGGTTATGCATCCAGTGTAGCAGGCCTGTGATAAGGAACAGATAATTATGCACTAAATGATAGTTTTGTTCACAGGGCTGTTTTTACCCTCTCCATAACTCCCTCATCAGTACTACTTTGTGAACATGGGCAAGAACTGGGCTGAAGCACAAGCCTACGGCAGAGATGAGTACACTGACCTGGCCACCCATAGACAACATGGGTGATATGAACAGATTGTTGAACTTAGAACATTTTGGTGATCACAATGATACTGTCTGGATAGGGCTGTATAATGATGTTAACAGCTGGAGGTGGTCTCTGGAAGATTGGGCCTATTATGGTGACGGAGAGGCTGAGTTTAGGCATTGGAAGAGTAGCCAACCTGATAACAGCAACGGCACGGAACACTGTGCGGTCGTGCTAGATAGGAAGTGGCAAGATGAGGAAGTTCCTTCATCTGCTGCATCGGAGAGAAATATGTTTCTCATTTCTGTATTTCCACCTCTAGAACCCATAAGAATACTAATCCAACTAATATATTATTATGATCATCACTCAAACAGTACCGGTATAGCCTCATTGTTGTCAAGTCGGGTCTATTTCAACGATTATTGGCCACCGTATTAATGCTCCCTAAAGCTGATGTCGGTGTTAACTTTTAGGTTGCTTGCAAATTTTACCCTCTGGTGGGTATCATCATCAGTAATAAATAAAACCTGCACTTTGAGCAGACCAAGGGCATATTTATCTTTTTGACAATCATTCCGTAACACCAAAATAAAGTATTTCCTCGTTTAACATGGCAAATCTACTGTGGCAATTTAACTTAATTTAATTATCATTATTTTACTTATTTTTTACGTTTTACGAATGGAAAAATCACATTGATGTACACTTATAAATGTTTCATTAATCACATATTTGAAGGTGAGACAACAAACAGGTCGAGATTTATCTTTGTGAATAAATCAATAAAAACCTTCAGTGAAGCTCAGAGCTACTGCAGAGAGCACCACACAGACCTGGCCAGTACCTCTCCTGTAGCCCTTATTTATACATTCATAAAGCCTTGATAACAGCTACATAAGACATTATAACATCAGTCATAGCCAGTCCTAAATATTTAAAGTAACAGTAGCCACCACTAACAAATTCATTTTATATTTTCTATGGTATTTTAAGGTAAGAATAACAGCCATGTTTTCATTGAGAGTAAGAAGAACTGGTCTGAAGCTCAGAGTTACTGCAGAGAGTCCCACACAGACCTGGCCAGTATGAGGAACCAGACTGAGAACCAGGAGATACAGAAGATGGTGTCTAAGGGTAGTACAGTGTGGATCGGCTTGTGGAAGTGGTCGGACGGGAGTGCCTCCTCCTTCAGATACTGGAAGGAAGGAGAACCAAAAAACAGCGACAGTCAACCACAATGTGGAGCAGCAATGTTCAAGGAAGTAGACATGTGGACGGATAGATGGCTGGATTGGAACTGTAATGACACACATCCCTTTGTTTGCTACAGTGGTGAATTACTGTAAAAACTATTCTTGTAAATTGGCAAACAACTGGATTGCTTTTGTAAAGAAAAATACATTATGTTCTTCCATTTGTTGTCTTTGAATGTTTGGGTCTATGCAAAATGTCTGTTTAACTCTCCCTTAAAGGGGAACAGAAACACTTTAGGAAGTAAATCAAAGCAAAGATATGTATTCAATCCACTAATACTAAACATGTGCATCTATGAAGAGGACATAGGTACCTTTAGAATAATAATAAAACCATTATTACTAACAGGCCCATGGATGCAGTATTGAAATCCTGGCTCCTGACAGGCATCCAAGTGTGAGGGTGCACTTGAGGGACTCACATGCTGATATCTGGCATGAGTATGACCTGTGGCACATTGCCAAAGGTGTGAGGAAACAGCTGGTGGCCATCGGGAAGCCAGAGGTACTGTCATATATTTTATAGTAAAATCAGAACTATGATTTGTGTAACTTATATCTGGCTCTAGGACCATCCCAGCGGACTCTCCTGAGTGCCCAAAGAGAGAGAGTGGCCGTCACTTTGGGGGAGCGGGCTGGTGTTCCGAAAATGGAGAAGGAGCAGGCCATTCAACAGCGAACTCAAAGATACACACATCCATAAAGAGAATCGGAGTGGAATTGTTTTTCGTCTGATTTATTTACACGTTTCAACGGGCGTGCTACCTTGTCCCGGACCTGCTGTTTCGACTCTCTCTCTCCCGGACCTGCTGTCTCGACCTATGAATGCTCAGCTATGAAAAACCAACTGACATTTGCTCCTGAGGTGTTGAACTGTTGCAACCTTTATAACCACTGTGGTTATTATATTTATGTAAAAAGGGCTTTGTAAAATACATTTGATTGATTGATTGATTGCTGTGCTGCGTGCTGTGTATTCACTAACTGTCTGAGTGATGGGACATCTTTATAGTATCTGTAACATATTTTGGTGTGTATTTAATCTGCAACTTAACTTAAAGTGGCAATCAGCAGTAGAAACAATAACAAAGTATACTCCCTGCTCCTCTTTCGGTAAAAAGCTGAGGGATGGGGCTGGAGAAATGTAACCACTCTCAAATTCATAGAGCTATAGATGCAAGGACTGATCATCCATGATATCAAAATTATAGTTTCAACCATGTTTTGAGGCTGTATTGTGTTTGCTGACATTTTCTTTGTTTATAAACGTTGGAGTAAAACAAGCCTATATTTGGGGTTCTGATGGAGTACGACAGTTGAACTAAGCTCATGAGGCATTTATAAATTAGATTATTCAAGAATCATGGTTACATATCATTAATTTATAAGTGCAAAAATGGCGGTAGCAACTGCAGATTGCCCCTTTAAGGTATGCTACTGTTTGTCGATTGATCTTGTACATGAAGCAAAGACTTGCAATCACAAGCCTTTCATGTGAATCCTCTTCTTGTTTCATTGGAACTTGTAAAAACACCTTAATAACCCTGTAATCGACTATGTATTTTTGTACTCCTGATTCTATGATCTGTTTCCACTACCATGTAGCCATGTTGCTTTGGATAAAGGCATCTGCTAAATGGCATATATTATTAAAGTCTCCTTTAACTCTGCCAACAAAATTTACCTGCCTAGTGTAGTTACCATTTCTTTCCAATAGATGGCAGCCAAAGCTAGTTGAAGTCACTACTCTAGCAACACGGATACGGGGTTAGGGCGCATTGAAAGTAGTTTTATCTTCCAAAGCAAGTTTATATGGTTACGCTTGAACCTTTTGGACAAGCTAACTAATACTATTTTTACATAAGGCGCAGGCATTAGGCCTATGTAAAAAAATTACAGCAGGCTAGAAATGGTTTTATTCAAACTCAAAGCCTACGTAAATGCCACTTGCTTCTGGGTATGCGCGCCTTATGGAAGAGACGAGACACGCATGGATGACACGCCATACACCTCGTCCAATTCTCCCTTGAGCCCATAGAGTGAACTGGCGATAAACTGCCAGCCTGTATACTCTGCAAACAAAATCATAAGCAAAATGTGTCTGATACCGAAACTAAATCACAATGTATGTATAATGAGCACGCCCCATTATTGGTTAGAATGACATTTCATGAATCATGATGCTGTCTCCGATTCCAACCCTGGTCGTCTAATCAAAAGGTGAATGCGTTACCATGGCGCCAAACAACGCTTGTGATAAACATAATTATAGGTTAATGATTATATATATTGAGCACCTATCCACTACTGATGTTAGCTTTAAACAATTTATAATCAAGCTAAATTTCTGCAATTATTTAACTGGCATACTGGCTGCTGACTGGTCGAGTAACCTCTTCTGCCAGGAACTCCTTCATAAGGATTAGTGACGCGTCCAATACATCGCCATCCAGACAGACTGTCAGGAACCTCTGACTGGTGTAATACAGCCACCATCCACTGGGATTTTGTGCTGTACCGCCACAATCTCTCTACAACACACACACTCATACTGTGTCACCGCTACGCCGACCTCTAGATGAGGTGTTTCAAGCGGCAGATCTGTGTTGTTACTGCTACGAGAACGAACTCTTTGATCTGGGGCAACGATCGGCTCAAACATGAACGACTTCAGTAGGTTTATTGGCTCCCAAACTAACGTTATTTCATCCTCTGTTATAAACTCATTCTCAGACTCGGAGCTACTCTTGGTAAATTCAGCCATTTTTGGGAGTTCCAAAATGTTCTCTCCTGCCAGTGACGCAACAATGCCAATATGCCGGTTTACAGTTACAGTTAGCTGCCGTTCTAAATCCTAGTGTTTCCATTCCCTTTTAACTTTACTTTGTAACATACACTGCGATCAAGTGAAGAAGACACAGCAGGTGGTGAGAGTGACGCTCTGTCTCTGTATCAGTTAGCCCCAGTGAAGAAGACACAGCAGGTGGTGAGAGTGACGCCCTGTCTCTGTATCAGTTAGCCCCAGTGAAGAAGACACAGCAGGTGGTGAGAGTGACGCCCTGTCTCTGTATCAGTTAGCCCCAGTGAAGAAGACACAGCAGGTGGTGAGAGTGACGCCCTGTCTCTGTATCAGTTAGCCCCAGTGAAGACGACACAGCAGGTGGTGAGAGTGAGGCTGACCCCAAAGGACCAGAACATGGACCTGACTGATCCTGCCATACAGGAGGCCATCTTGCAGCAGGTGAGTCTCACCTTCTTCATGAAAAAGCTATTTCGTCAATTATAACAAGAAGAGGTACATTTCTATCTTATTAGAAATTATTTTAAAAGATGAGGCCAATCAAGAAATTGTGTGACTGAGTTACCCTTTCGGGGCTATAGACAAATCTACAGTATAACAAGGATATGAAGCATGATGGTACATGAAGCATTATGTTACGTTACATTACATTATAGCATAGCATATTATACTATATTAAGAGTCTCTCTATTCCTCAGATAAAGGAGCTGAGGGAGAAGGAAATGTCTGCTGTCAAACTGAGATGGAAGGAGCAGCCCGATGGAAAGATATTCAACAAGGAAGAAAAGAGGGAGTCCCAGAAGAAGAAGAAAAAGAAGAAGAAGAAGAAGAAGAAGAAGAAACCAGTTATGACAAAGAGAGAACTCTAAATTTCTGAAATTATATTTCTTGGTTTGTGTAAAGTTATCCTGTATATATTTGGATGTACCAACCAATAATTGTAATTCCATATACTGTAGTTGGACACACAGTCCAACTATATGGAATTACACTTATTGGTTGGTACATACATTTTTTGACTTAAATGAATGATATATAGCCATTGATTCTTGAAGAATATAACTTATATGCCTCATGAGCTTAGTTCAACTGTTTTACCCCATCAGAACCCAAAATATAAGCTTGTTTTACTCCATTGTTTGTAAACTATGTAATTTTAAACAAACACTGTATAGCTTTCATTTTGATCACATGGATAGTCAATCCTTGCATCCATAGCTCTGTCTATGAATTTGAGAGTTGTTCCCCAGCCCCATCCCTCAGCTGTTTACTCAAAAAGTGGTGGGGTGCCGCTTTGCTGTTTTTTGAGTCCCAGATTGCCCTTCGGAGGATTCAAGTTTTGTTTTTCAGAAGAAAGTATCCAAATAGATTGTGTAGTCGTAATATTACCAGTGGAATACTATTATGCCTTTTGAGAGCCTTATTTTATTCTACAGTAAGTTCCTGTTTGTATGCCACGCCTTGGGACTCTATCAAAAAGAATGCAACAATTGAATTGGGACTGGAAAACTGTAGTACACACTAACTTACTTTTTCAGTCACACTTTGTCACGGGTGGGAATATGGGGTGACGTAGTCAGACAGGCTGTAATGATGTAATATAGTCTTCTATCAGTGACTTAGAGTTGAGAGATGTTATAATGACTCTGTGATCACTGTACTCCATTTGAGTAACTTTTAACTTTGTTTTAAGCCATTGACTTTAGAGATGTATTTTTTTATTCTACGGTCAACTCCTGGTGTATGCCACACATTGGCACTGTCATTTACAGTGTGCAGAACCACAGTGTACAGTTATCAAGTGCAATCAAAATGAATGTACAGTGGGGAAAAAAAGTATTTAGTCAGCCACCAATTGTGCAAGTTCTCCCACTTAAAAAGATGAGAGAGGCCTGTAATTTTCATCATAGGTACACGTCAACTATGACAGACAAAATGAGAAAAAAAAAATCCAGAAAATCACATTGCAGGATTTTTAATGAATTTATTTGCAAATTATGGTGGAAAATAAGTATTTGGTCAATAACAAAAGTTTCTCAATACTTTGTTATATACCCTTTGTTGGCAATGACACAGGTCAAACGTTTTCTGTAAGTCTTCACAAGGTTTTCACACACTGTTGCTGGTATTTTGGCCCATTCCTCCATGCAGATCTCCTCTAGAGCAGTACATTCCAAGCCTCTGCCTCTAACCCTAGGAAGCTCTTTGCCACCTTCTCCTCCCTGCTGAATCCCCCCCTCCTCCCTCTCTGTGGATGACTTCGTCAACCACTTTGAAAAGAAGGTTGACGACATCCGATCCTCGTTTGTTAAGTCTAATGACACTGCTGGTCCTGCTCACACTGCCCTACCCTATGCTTTGACTTCTTTCTCCCCTCTCTCTCCAGATAAAATCTTGCGACTTGTGACTGCAGGCCGCCCAACAACCTGCCCGCTTGACCCCATCCCCTCCTCTCTTCTCCAGACCATCTCCGGTGACCTTCTCCCCTACCTCACCTCGCTGATCAACTCATCCTTGACCGCTGGCCATGTCCCTTCCGTCTTCAAGAGAGCGAGAGTTGCACCCCTTCTCAAAAAACCAACACTCGATCCCACTGATGTCAACAACTACAGACCAGTATCCCTTCTTTCTTTTCTTTCCAAAACTATTGAGCGTGCCGTCTTTAGCCAACTCTCTTGCTATCTCTCTCAGAATGACCTTCTTGATCCAAACCAGTCAGGTTTCAGGACTGGTCATTCAACTGAGACTGCTCTTCTCTGTGTCACGGAGGCTCTCCGCACTGCTAAAGCTAACTCTCTCTCCTCTGCTCTTGTCCTTCTAGACCTGTCTGCTGCCTTTGATACTGTGAACCATCAGATCCTCCTCTCCACCCTCTCCGAGCTGGGCATCTCCGGCGCGGCTCACTCCTGGATTGCGTCCTACCTGACCGGTCGCTCCTACCAAGTGGCGTGGCGAGAAGCTGTCTCCGCACCACGTGCTCTCACCACTGGTGTCCCCCAGGGCTCAGTTCTAGGCCCTCTCCTATTCTCCCTATACACCAAGTCACTTGGCTCTGTCATATCCTCACATGGCCTCTCCTATCATTGCTACGCTGACGATACACAACTAATCTTCTCCTTTCCCCCTTCTGATAACCAGGTGGCGAATCGCATCTCTGCATGTCTGGCAGACATATCAGTATGGATGACGGATCACCACCTCAAGCTGAACCTTGGCAAGACGGAGCTGCTCTTCCTCCCGGGGAAGGACTGCCCGTTCCATGATCTCGCCATCACGGTTGACAACTCCGTTGTGTCCTCCTCCCAGAGTGCGAAGAGCCTTGGCGTGACCCTGGACAACACCCTGTCGTTCTCCGCTAACATCAAGGCGGTGACCCGATCCTGCAGGTTCATGCTCTACAACATTCGGAGAGTACGACCCTGCCTTACACAGGAAGCGGCACAGGTCCTAATCCAGGCACTTGTCATCTCCCGTCTGGATTACTGCAACTCGCTGTTGGCTGGGCTCCCTGCCTGTGCCATTAAACCCCTACAACTCATCCAGAATGCCGCAGCCCGTCTGGTGTTCAACCTTCCCAAGTTCTCTCACGTCACCCCGCTCCTCCGCACACTCCACTAGCTTCCAGTTGAAGCTCGCATCTGTTACAAGACCATGGTGCTTGCCTATGGAGCTGTGAGGGGAACGGCACCTCCGTACCTTCAGGCTCTGATCAGTCCCTACACCCAAACGAGGGCATTGCGTTCATCCACCTCTGGCCTGCTGGCTCCCCTACCTCTGCGGAAGCATAGTTCCCGCTCAGCCCAGTCAAAACTGTTCGCTGCTCTGGCACCCCAATGGTGGAACAAGCTCCCTCACGACGCCAGGACAGCGGAGTCACTCACCACCTTCCGGAGACATTTGAAACCCCACCTCTTTAAGGAATACCTGGGATAGGATAAAGTAATCCTTCTACCCCCCCCCCCCCCCCCCCCCCCCTCTAAAAAATAAATAATAATAATTGTGAAGTGGTTATCCCACTGGCTATAGGGTGAATGCACCAATTTGTAAGTCGCTCTGGATAAGAGCGTCTGCTAAATGACGTAAATGTAAATGTAAATGTAAATGTTTTGGGGCTGTCGCTGGGCAACACGGACTTTCAACTCCCTCCAAAGATTTTGAAATGCTTCTTACGAAGCCACTCCTTCGTTGCCCGGGCGGTGTGTTTGGGATCATTGTCATGCTGAAAGACCCAGCCACGTTTCATATTCAATGCCCTTGCTGATGGAAGGAGGTTTTCACTCAAAATCTCACGATACATGGCCCCATTCATTCTTTCCTTTACACGGATCAGTCGTCCTGGTCCCTTTGCAGAAAAACAGCCCCAAAGCATGATGTTTCCACCCCCATACTTCACAGTAGGTATGGTGTTCTTTGGATACAACTCAGCATTCTTTGTCCTCCAAACACGACGAGTTGAGTTTTTACCAAAAAGTTCTATTTTGGTTTCATCTGACCATATGACATTCTCCCAATCCTCTTCTGGATCATCCAAATGCACTCTAGCAAACTTCAGATGGGCCTGGACATGTACTGGCTTAAGCAGGGGGACACGTCTGGCACTCCAGGATTTGAGTCCCTGGCGGCGTAGTGTGTTTCTGATGGTAGGCTTTGTTACTTTGGTCCCAGCTCTCTGCAGGTCATTCACTAGGTCCCCCCATGTGGTTCTGGGATGATGAAAATTTCAGGCCTCTCTCATCTTTTTAAATGGGAGAACTTGCACAATTGGTGGCTGACTAAATACTTTTTTCCCCCACTGTAACTTAATTTAAATCAGGAATGGTAAACTTTAGTACAGTTAAACAGAGCTGGCACTTATCCAAAGAGCTGTCAGGAGTTGACTGTATACATAACATGTGACTATTTTATATACTTGTTTGCAGGGATTTAAGTTAGATTTTGTGTGGTGTGTTTACATACACTGTATACATTTAATGTATCTGTGTGTAGGGTTGCAAAGGGAGGGACAATTGCATGACGCTGCCTACAGCATGCTGTCACCTGTTTTATTTATTTTTTATTTCACCTTTATTTAACCAGGTAAACCAGTTGAGAACAAGTTCTCATTTACAACACCGACACTGTCACACCCTGATCTGTTTCACCTGTCTTGTGCTTGTCTCCACCCCCCACCAGGTGTCTCCCATTTTCCCCCATTATCCCCATTGTATTTATACCTGCGTTTTCTGTTGGTCTGTTGCCAGTTCGTCTTGTCAGGTCGTACCAGTGTGTTTATCCTGAGTCATGATAGTCACAGAAGAGACAGTGACAATGATGGGGTTGGGCCATCTTTCCAGCTCTATAAATCATTCTTGAATATATGTTTTTCTCATTAATTAGGCTACATTTCTCCTTAATCATATAAAGATTTGAAAAATAAGTATAAATTCCCCCAAAGTTTTAACTGAAACATTTTGAAGCGTTGTTGTCACAGGTGTGAATGTGGGGTGGCGTGGTTGGACAGGCTATGATGATTCACTATAGGCCAGGTTCCAGGATGACTACATTGCAGATTGCAAGATCTCACAATGCCTGGATAGGGGTATCAACATATCAGCTTAACACATATGATACAACAATCTGATGCCGAACTGGTTGATGCAATGCAACGTCTGCAATGTAGTTAGCCTGGAATGAGACCATTATCTTCTATCAGCAGTCCCCTTTATACCTGGGTCTAACATGCGTCCTTTGTCCTGATCTTGTCCACATTTTCAGACAGGTGGAGACGATTAAAGACACATTGTGATCTGATTGTGATCAGATCTTCCTGACCAACTCCAGAGGTAGTCAGGCATGCATTGTGTCTGGATATCTTATAATTGTAGCCGGA